CTACTTCATTTGTAACATGTAAGTTTGTGACATGTAAATTTGTTTTGGGTTGATAGGGTTTTTCTAATGATCTGATAATTTTTTCTAATGTTTTACAAATACGAAAATCAAAGAAACTGTTTCCCTTACGCGTCGTCAATTCCACGTTGAACCCGAGACTCGTGAAAAAGTCGTAAGCTTCTACTTTTCCATTTTTTAATTTCTGCCGAATTTTCACTCTATATAGGGCTTCTTGATTACCTATTTTCATTATTTCTTTCATTTTCTTCATCTCTTGGCATAAGATTCAGCTCTCAAGCCATTCAAATCATATAAGTTGTAGAGTGTAAAAAAGCTCATTGCAGGTATGATATCTTTAATCCTTCTTTTGATAAAATAAATGCCATTGTGTTGTGTCATTTTTATGACTTAATAGTTAATACCATTCCTGCTAGAACGCCTCATTTTGTAGGAACAAACAAACCAAACACACTTTCTAAACCTTCGACAGCTCAGCGCCAATCTACCACAAGTTTGTTAGAAATTAATTAATTTTGGCCAGGTAGGTTTTACTTTCTGCACTGTTGCACCCCAAAATTTACCCTCTTGATTTCAGAATTTTTAATGGCTTGTGTTTCATCATACATATTCATGCATGGTGACGGGGTCAAGGTATTCTTATCTTCCTGGTTTTCTTCAAGCTGTGAAATTGGTTATATTGGTAGCCAGTTCAAGATGGCTCTGATATCCTCATTATTTTGATCATTCAAGCTACCAAGGCTCCTCATTCCTCAAGACATCTCAACTTGTCTATCATTTCATCTGAAGATTAAAGACTGTAAGTATTGAAGTGTGAAATTAGGGTTTTGTGTTCATGTTCATTTAGGATTCTTTCTTCCATAAAGCTTCTTGAATATGCCTCTTACTCAAGTGGGGTATGATTTTGTCACAAGCGAGAATAAGGGTTTATATGGCTTTGATGGCTCTTATATTCACTCAATCTTGAATCAAATAGTTCTCTATTAGCTTTGGTTTATAGAGCTAAGTGTAACAGCTGGTTTTAAATCAGATTCACCACTATTAGTTTTTATCCTAGGGAAAGGAATCTAACAGAAAACCCTAATTCGCAGACAGAGATTCTAGGTTTTGGACTTCTTTAGACGAAAGGCGGTGTTAGGCACCTTTCACCTACCTTGTTCACAAGGATATTAGGTTTTAGGTTTGAGTTGGGGAAACATGATTTAAATTTTATTAGGGGAAGGGTTTTAATTTTTTATAGGAGAACTCACTATGATTTTTTATCGTATGCCTATGTATCCTCTTATGAGGAATCAAAGTCTCAATTTGTAGTTCGTATGAGGTTGGTGTTTTTTAGGGGTTGCAAACATATTTTGAATCATCTCGCATTTTGGCCAGGAGTAGTGATTGTGGAGATTTTGACTAAATGCGCGATAAGTCAAAATCCGTTTGAAACCCTTTTGTAAAAACAATTGATTAGCTTAGTTGGTTGCGAAAAATAGTTTGAGATTTGTTAGTGTGTTTTATAATATTAATTGCAAAAATTCTTGATTAATGCATGATAAAAAAATATTTTAATGCAAATATAAAAATATAATATGCATGAGTTTTGAATAAATATAATTTATTTATGCTAATATAATAATATTTTCGTATAAAAATAATAATATGATAAATAAAAATTAACATTTAATAATAATAATAATAATTCTATATAAAAAAGAATAAAATATAAATATAAGAATTATACAATATGAATATAAAGTATAAAAAGATAAAAAGAAAAATATTTAATTAATCAGGGGGGTGTAGTTTTAAACTGGGTAGTAAAAGCAGGGGTGCTAAAAGTTATGTTGGGTTAGGCCCAAATATGTCCTGGACAGGGGGGTGCGAATGGTTTTGGTTTTTAGTAAATATGGGCAAAGGGGGGTGTTTGAAAAGTAAACGGGCTTGGCCCATTAAGCATTGCAAATGGGCCTGATGGATCGAGTAAGCGAGGGTGCACGGAAGTTACAATGGGACTTGGGCTTACGGCCGTCCAATCATGATCAATCATACAAACATGAGTGTTCATGTTAAGTACAATAGACGCGCAGTTATTGGATGTAAATAAAATATAAGTTTGTTTTGTACATCAGTCTGTTCTTCATTTTCAATTACATTGTTGTTATAGTTTTCTTCCTCTGTCTCTCGCCGTATCCACACAACCCTCTCTCTGTCATTCGCAATAACTCCTTTCTCCCTTTTCCAACTCCAAACCCTAGCCCTAATACATTGTCGCGGCAACGCGATGACCCCAAATCGGAAACCCTTACCTAACCAAACCCCAAATACACAAACAATCAAAAGAGAAAGCTAAGATAATTTTACCCTTTCGCTATTGTTCTGATTCTGAATTTCTGAGCCTCTTCCAATTCGATGCTAAGCCCTTTGTCTCTTCTTGTTCTCAGGTCAGTAAATATGGCAACGGCGAAGGTTGACGATGGTGGTGGATGTGGTTGCAGCGGCGGAAACGATAGCTAGCGGTGGTGGCTCCCACGGTTATGGTTTCAAAGATTGAAATCCCAACCGTTCTCCTTTGTCTTCCTCTGTACTGTTGGTAGTCTTCAGTTCTTCTGTTACTGTATTCTCCTTCGTTCTGTCTTGAATTTTTCAATTTCTTCTGTTATTTTCCCCCTCCTCTCCTCTTTGTAAATTAGTTTAATATATATAGGTTTTTAATTCTAGTGTTTTACGAATTAGAATTATGTTAGCACAAATTCAGGATTTGTAATTGATTTGATTGTATGTTAATGATTTTGTAATAGATTTGATTATGTAAGATTTGATTTAGTTTAATTGTTGATTTTCTAGATTTTGCATCAATTTACAGATTTGGTTTATATTGGAGATTTGGTTTTGTTTAGTTTTTGAGGTTTGATTTTGACAGTGATTATTTATTGATACACAAGCGTAATTCCTAGTTCAATCTGCACAATTGTTGTTTGTGCTTTTGGGCCTGGGCGGATTGTCTAATTTTTGTTCTGGAATTGGGCCTTTACGTTATCTATATTTTTTGTCTTGCAACAATAAACAAAATTGGGCCCTTAATAGAAGTATTGATTGGGCTTATTCACTTCTCGTAATCTAATCCAGTGGATTATTTTAAAACCCAACTCTTTATTCACAAAAAATATTTTATTAATCTTAATAATAAATTAACCCATAAAATCATGGATCAGATTATGATTCACAAATGCCAAATGCCAAATAGGCTAAGAATTAGACCTTAATCAACAATTTTTTTTTACAACGAGCCTTTTTTCTATTTAATCCATATTAGGCCCAAAATAATTCTTAAACAAAAATATTCTCATGAACACATTTTCTCTTTTTTTTTTTATAGATAAAGTGGTAAGTGTCAAAACGCTAATTGGGCCTGGCTTGAAAGACAAATCAAAAGGCCTGTGATTCAGAATTATACCCCCTTCTTTACTGTTTTCTATTAAAAGAAATGGGTCAATATGAATTTTAATATAATTGTATCTTCACCTCTTCTTTTATTAACAACAACCATTCTTAAATGGACCTTAATTTTAATTTCAACTAATAACAACTTGAACTTAAGTTCATTTTAAGAATTAAGGACTTAATAGCTATTATTCTTTCTTGAAATAATTTTCTATTTTTGAATCGCATGGGCCATTGGCCAACATGCTTCGCGAATGAGTTTATAAGTCTTTCTGATTTAAAAAGTCCCATTTTCCTGAATTAAAATACACCCATTAGTCGATTTGGATAAAGATGGGCCATCAGATATTGTTGTACCATCTTTAATTAAATATTTCTTCTATTTTAATCTTGAAAAATAAAATCATCGAGATAGGGAAAATTTGGGGTACGACACTAAGTTTTGAATTCTTGATCATTGTGATATTCTCCCCATCAAATTATAAGGTTGTAAGTTCAGGCGTTCATCATTTTCCCATGTGTGTCATCATCACTTCTTGGATTTCTTTGCAAAGGCACGAATTCAGAGATGTGGATTATCTGGTGATCCTTGGGTGCATTCTCGTGCGCTTATTAGTTAGATTAAGGTCTGGAACAAGATCACCACTTGGTTTACTATATGATTAAAGTTTCTCATCTTTGGTGTGTAATTTTGTTGATGCTTACCGATGGAAGTTTGGGATGTTCATGTCAAATATTATTCTCTACCAGATTCCTCAAAGGAATTACTTGACAAGATTGGATCTTTGATTGATTGGAATACAAGAGTGAATTGTGGTACAAGAGATAAATTTGTGAGCAAGGCATTGTTGTCTTCTTCATGCTTAGTGATTGGAGTAGGATTTAGGATTTGAATTAAATTTGGTTCCATTAGTGGAAGTGTTCATCATTCCCAATATGTTCAAGTTAACCACTATTTTGTAAAGTGCAAGAAAAACTATTATTTTTGCATTTAAAAGATTAAGTGGTCATTGCAAAATAAGACTTGGTTTCATCCATATATTCATTCAAGTTCCAAACAACATTCATCATAAATATTCATTAAAGTTTATCTCAAAACTATTCAACATGGTAAGATTCATTCAAAATGTTGCCAAATTTCTTCAAATAGGTCAACCTATTTCTACAAGCATTATGTAAAAGAAGATAGGATCTCAAATTTTAAAACTTCATTGATTACAATAATACAGTAACATTGCAAATGTTCAAGTCTTTGAAATTTCAAGATTACTTCTTACAAGAACTTTCAAATTTCTAATCCTTAAGTTACAAGACAAAACTAAAAAAGAATTCTTCTTCAATCTTAGAATTCCTCATGGCCATTTCCTCGGCCTCTTCTTCAAGCACTCCTCTTTGCTCTCTCCAAATTCATCAGAGCCAACATCACACGAAAAAAGAAATTGGACATGGTTAGAAATCATCAAGAAACCAGAACTTGAACAAAAATAAAGTATTTTCAAGGAGGTTTTCAACTTCATCATTAGGGAGTGGAAGGAATCAGAAGTTGTAAGGGAATGTTTTCAATCATGTTCATAAGCAAGCAAAGGCCTCATGCTTTTTTACAACATAAACTGAATCTCAAGTTTCAATCATGGGCCAGAGATTTCTATTACAAATCACAAATCCTATTTTGGGTTTGGTTCACAAAAGAAAAGGTTCGAAAAGTAACATATAAAAAAAACTATGAAACAATTCACACCAATATCAGCTGAACCAACAGGAAAAACCAGAAAGTATCAGGACAAATACAAGAAACTGGTTCATTCACCAAATCCATATTATAGTTGTTTTCTTTCATCACAGAATTGCAAACTAAATTTTAATTTCCAAAAGTCGAGCTAACAGAAAAATAGAGGAGAAAAACATTTGAATCGAAATTGTCAGCTCATTTAATCTAATAGAAAATTCTAACAGCGTATAGCAGGCCATATTTAAAATTAGAGAAATAAAGTTAGAAGATAGAATTAACCGTAACAGCTCATGGCAACTAATTCCAGCTCATCCAAATTTCTCAAACAGAATGATAACTAACTGTTGCCATCTCATCTAACAAATTTTAGACTAACAATTATTTTACTAAAGGGTGCTTCATTTTCAAGTCATAGTTCCTAACATAAGTTAAACCATAACTAACTCTGGAGCTTTCAATCTCAACCATCGATCTAGCTAACAACCTTCAGATCCAAGGGCCTTAAACTTCCTATTTGTAATTGTTTTCTCATCATTTTCATCGACCATATAATCAAGTTTTCATTCAGAAATTAGGGGATTCATCTTTTCCATCGTTCACAGAAATAGAACGATTCATAAAATTAAAATAAAAACCAGCAAGTTATCAAGCACAAACCCTAGCTATTCATCATCTTCTGTCACAAAACCCGTCAAAAAATTTATTTTCAAAAATTACAAGTTCTGATTATAGAGAAGAGAAAAAGCTCACAAGTTTATAAAAAAAAAGAGGAAAAGAGAATCATTATGTGAATTCAGATTCAGAAGGAGCTCACCGAAAGGGTTACGATCTTAAATCGCCATCCACCATCGTCAAGCACGCGTCCACGCTGCAGAGAGTCCATTTTCATGTCACGGTCCAGATGATTTCATCATCTTCACTGATCTTCGCATCTGAAGAACCTAGGGTTTCATTTAATCCCTTTAAGATCTATGATAAGATACTTAGAATCTTCACCATTTGCTGTCGTGCCTGTAGCCGCAGGCGATTTCTGGAGAAGCTGAGATGAAGAGGAAGAGATTATTTAATCTCTGTTTATAAAAAATATTCGTTAACCTTTTGTTTTTATTAAGTTAATTTTTTGATTAACAACTACTCAACACTTGTCACCGCTTGTTTGGTGAGTTTGTGTAATCATGCAGATGTTCCCACGGTAAGCCACCATGCGTCTGCTTCAGTTACCATTGGATCGTTCCTCATCATCATCCAACATTTTCAGATGCGTGTCTACGGTGAGCCTCCTTCAAACGCAACCATGAGATCACACTAGATCCAACGTATGACTCTTCATCAATCTTACTATGCGCTCTCAGTTTTAAACCATTAGATTTATCCATATCTAATCTGGAGCTTCAGCATGCGCGTTCCACCGTGGATCTCCTGGAGCACTTCCCACTGGATCGCACACAGCCTCTTCAGTAGTCGAGCTTCCTTCATGTTTGTCCTGAACGCCCAGCTCCTTTCAGCACCCCCCATTTCTGCTTATTTCAGGCTCATTCTCTATTTTCCATTATATTTGTTTGTATTATGTTATTTTGTTTAATTATATTTTGATTTTTATCAATTGAAAAAAATACAAAAATATATTTTATTATCCTAAATAAATAATTAAACTAAAAAATATTATTTTTATATTATTAATTATTTTACTAATTAATTTTATTAAATATATTGTTTTAGTTTAATTAGTTGTTTAATATTTCTATTGGGTTGTATTTATTGTTTATTTAAACTTTTTATCGTATTATCGATTCAATACAACCCCATTCATTAACTTGTATCCCCATTCCCATATGGTTTGTAATAGCTTAGAACTTTATTTCTTTGCTATTTTCTTTATATGTTTAAAATTGTTATTATGCATATTTTGTTCGTATTAGAACACTTGGCCTCCTCTTGGACTCATCATCAATGAAAAGGTACCCACCTACAAATGCACACTTACACACATTTCATAGTTTGATCCTGGGCTTTTCTATAGTGACAACTACTCGATCAATTATTCCAATTGGTAGTTTAGAATACTAGTGTCACGCTAGTCCCACTTTCTAGAAGCATGCATATAGCCACTTTGTATGGGCTTTTAATTTTCATCTTATGCATTGAAGCAACTCTCTTCTCTCCCATTGGTCCACATACCAAGCATTTTCTTAAAGGGTCTCATAGTTGAGTTTGAGCATGGCCATTCTCACAAGGTTAATCAAGTTTAGCCCTTGGTTAGCCATAACCTGAATCAACCACTTTTGTCTGTATACCAAGTATTTCCATGCACAAAGCGTCTCATGGTTGAGGGTAGGAGCACCTACTCTCATGAGATAAATCAAGTACGCCCCTTGGTTAATCATAACCCAATTCAACTCCCATACACCAAGAATTCCACTTATCTTATAGACACTTGAGCTATGATCTTGCGATTGATAGTTGATGCAACCCGGGTATGCCTAATTGATGGTTGATTGAGGAGGTTCAAGGAGGCATTCTATAGATTTTTCTCATCTCATGCGCTTCGAAGAGGCAACGGGCCTACTCCGTTAGGTATCATTGTGACCTCATTCTTATCTTTGCATTTTAATTCTTTCTAGAGATTATGTCAAGAAGTAATAATGATGCATGAAAGCGACTTCCGTTGCTGACATCTGTTAGGAATCCCTGTGATTTATTTAAATACCTGTTTAAGGCAATTCTGAACATGTCCCTTGTTTGCTACTCATGTTTGTGTGCTTTCGCGAAAGCACTTATTTGCTCGCTTGTTTTATATGCCCCTTCCCATAGGATTGCTCGTGTAGGGTTAGTCCTCGAGCTAGACATCAGGATATCTATCCATGCGTGTTCACTTAGGTATATGTTTCCCCTTCCATCCTTAACATAGGGCCATCTTTGTATGATAACATTAGGGCTAGAGATTAGGATAGTCTCTCATAGTTGTTGTTTTTTTCTTTGCATATTGCATCTTAAAACGAAAATTTCTTCTTGGCAAATCATAAAACATCTCTAATGAACTTAAATCTTTCTTCAAGGTAAAATATGCAAACCAATCTTAATTGTTTGTGCGCCTTTTGGCTTTGTTTTAAACCTTGTCAAATGGATATCTCGTCATCTTTTCCATGCTATTTTTCAATCCTTTAGCCGATGTTTCGCCATCGCACATGGTTTTGTCGATGTTTCACCATCGCATATTGTTGTACCCCAAAATTTTCCGTCTCATTTTACTCAATACATTCCCATTGAGATCCCAAAATTGCTCAAGGATGACTAAGAGTTGACCAGACAAACTCTTTCCTAAGGCAATGTACCTCAAACTAGGGTTTCCATTTTCATCAGGATGTGGGAATTCCAAAGGTCCCAAATTCCTTCCATGGTCTTAATATGTTCTCAAGATCATCCATGTCAAGTTTCATGCCTTGCACAAGAAGTTTGCTCAGTCAACTGCTCAGATGCCTGAAAGTTAACTACATTAGGTCAAAAGTCAATTGTGGCCCACATAAAGTCAAACTTCAAGAATTTTGGTCAACATCAACATTTTGAAGTGATATCCATCATTTTATCAAGGTTTGATCATGATTCCCCATGGAATTCCCCAAATTCATCAAAACCCAAAAGTTGCTAAATTAGGGTTTCTCAGGAAAAGTCAACCAAACTTTGACCAAGCATAACTTCTTTATACTTTATCAGAAATTTTCCATCCAAGGCTCATTTTGAAGAGGATGAAATTCCCTAAAATTCATCTTCATCACCCAAGTTTAAAATATTCACTCATCAAAATATATGAATTTCTACATTATAGGTCCTTTTGAAAAGTCAACAAAAACACCTTTTGGGTCAAAGCTTCTTACATGAAAATGGAAGACCCAATTGAGATGAGGCTAAAAGGGTTGTTTAGGGAACATCCTAAGATTTCTAAAAAGTCCAGGAACACCTATCTAGGGTTAAAATTGGAGGAGATATGCCTTGTAAATGTGCTCAAAAATGCATTTTTTGTCAAATGGGCCTAGTTTTTCATGATTGCATCTTGCTTGTGACATGGTCCACGACCCAAATCAGCATCTACACTTTATTTGCTTCATTATTTATTTTATTTTGATTTTTTATTATTTAAAATTCAAATTAAATCAAATAAATAGCAAAAAATGCAAAAGATTGATTTTTTATCTGATTTCTTGTAGGAATCAAATCCAATTAGGCTGACAAATCAGATCAAATCGTGCAAAGCAAATTGAAGCAAAAATTGGCATGATTAGGCCTATTTTGGAAACATATCATACAAGAACAAAATCAAATCTAATTTTCATAATGTTCAAAGATACAATGCGTTTTTGTTGACCTAATCAGTTCTAATACATATATAGGACACAACCAGTGCATAAGAACGAGGAGAGAGGTCGTGAAAACAAAAAAACAAAAATTGCAAAAATTGTCAAAAAGTGGTGGATCGATTTCCAGCTTAGAGGGAAATTCAAAGCATTCTAAGACTACCAATAGATTCCTGGACATCTCCAGAACGTGTTTCAATCCATTGCAAGCATTTTCACAGCCATAATCTCCCCCTAGACATCACACGGTTTGCGTTCTTTTTCATATTCAATTACTATGATTCTTGCATCATGAACATGTTTTAATGGTATATCTGTGTTTGTTGTCATGTTTGCAACATGTCTAGACCATTTAATTGAAGTTTTAACGCTTGTATGCATATTTTCCATAGTTAGGGTTTATCTTGTCGTTTTAGGGCTTTCAAATGCATGAACAATTGACCCTAATGAAGGATACCATTGTGATCAGAGGGTCAAACCTAATCGATCCATGGTCTTGAATCTTATTTATATTGCTTGAACGTGATTTTTGAAGTGTACATGTTATGGCTACAGACGCTTGTCTGTAGGTAAAAGTCTTAGCGTAAGACGACGGTCTCAGCGAAGAAGACAGTGGCGTGGTGAGGCGTGAGTGGATGATTCAAATTTTGTGCGTTTTTGTAACAGGCTAACT